GGGGGGAAAGGGGGGGGGAAGGCAAGCATATACGCATGTACACGGTTGGAGAGCCTGCGGGCAGCCGTTTGGGGCGGGTAGGGTGAGGGAGAGCGCAGAGAGGAGATAGGAATAAAGGCGTCACTCTGTCCCCTCTTCACTTTTTGTCCCCAGAAAACCCTGAACTGGATTTGCAGGCTGTATCCTGATTCTGAAAAGGCTGAAAAAATAATTTTCTACAGTAAGGCAAGACCCCTACCAGTAAGGCAAGACCCCTACATGCTCTGAGGCAGTGCTTGCTATGCGGCTGGTATCAGTATAGCTTGCGAAAGTGAGCATCAAAGAGGGTCAAGCAGGTTGCAGAGCTGAAAGCACCCATGATTCATAAGTGCTGCTAAACATGATAACTCTATATGCAAGCCTCCCTCTAACCATTAATAGATATGGTCTCATCTCTGGATGAGACTGGATGCCCCAGCTGTTCGCAGCTTCATAAATCTCATGTTCAAATGGACCACTAACAGGTACTGGCCCAAATACAAGATACCCAGTTTCTAAAGCCATGGTAACACAAGACCACTGGGTGATGGGCTTGCACTGGAAGATTGCATGGGGGGAGGCAGAAGGAAGTGCTACCATTGGCATCACATTTTCTACTCTGTTCTAGTGCATCTTTACTCTCAAATATTTAATATTCTTTCTTTTCTTTCTCTTGAGTCTCCTCCCTTGTCTTTTCCACCCAGTTCTAAAGGAATTACAGGAAATCTCATTTGAAACATCCCCTTTACCACCATGATATAGTATCATTGGCCATTGTCCTCTCAAAGGGCCCTAGGATAGGAAAGATTCGCATTTGGACTCTTAGTATTAACCCTATGCGGTGAAATGGATCAGGGAAATGTCACACTTAGCTGAAGGTTACCCACCCCTAGCTGGGGCAACGTCAAACAACTGGGAGAGGACAGCTTCTATGGCAAGAAAAAGACAGGTGAATAAGCCCTAAATGGCAGCATCAGTCAACTCTCCATTCTTTGTACTTCACTCCCATATGTCCCTCCTGGACAGGAGCTCCTGGACCTCACTGTGCCTGAGCTCAGCTTCCACAGAAAGGCACATCAGCCCTCAGTTACAGAAGAATAGAAATAACAACTCATGAGTTCAATATTAAAATGAGCAAACAGGCAGGTTATTTTTTTGCCCTTGATCATGCTTTGCACCCTCCCAGGGGAGCCCAGATTTCCTAGAACCGAGAACTCAAACCTTCTCCTCCAAAAGCCCCCAAATTATTCTTCTCCCTCCAACCACCAGTATTTCCAGGCAGAGACACAGACCACCCAGCCCCTTAGCTCTGTGAATACCCGCAAGCAGCAAACCCACATCTCAAGAGCACATACATGGTTGTTAATAAATAAATCGTATACATAATTAGAGAATTGGTCTGTTAATGAGTCTGGGATTCTGGTTTGACATTATACCTTTCATCTTCTTAATTGGTATGGAAAAGATGGACACTGACTGGTCCCACTCACCTCCATAAAATGAGTGAAGTTGGTTAATTTGCAGCCTAATGATGTGGCAAACAGCCTGCATTGACTTCTCAGGGATCACTTTTAGTTTTGTTTATCCGTTCTGCTGCATTAAGAAGATCCCTTAGGGCTTAGTCTCCTTGTGTGTAGCAGGGTGGAAGTGTCAGCCTTCATGCATCAGAAGAAGTGTGGCCAGCAGGTCAAAGGAGGGGATTCTGCCCCTCTGCTCCACTCTCATGAGACCCCACCTGGAGTACTGCATCCGGCTCTGGAGTCCTCAATGTAAGAAGGACATGGACCTGCTGGAGCGTGTCCAGAGGAGAGCCACGAGGATGATCCAAGGGCTGGAGCACCTCTCCTATGAGGAGAGGCTGAAAGAGTTGGGGCTGTTCAGCCTGGAGAAGAGAAGACTCCGGGGAGATCTTATTGCGGCCTTCCAGTACCTAAAGGGGGCCCACAGGAGAGCTGGGGAAGGACTTTTTACACGGGCATGTAGCCATAGGATGATGGGGAATGGCTTTAAACTGGAAGAGGGCAGGTTTAGATTAAACATTAGGAAGAAATTTTTCACTTTGAGGGTGGTAAGGCACTGGCACAGGTTGCTCAGAGAGGTTGTTGAGGCCCCATCCCTGGAGGTGTTCAAGGACGTGGCCTTGGGCAACCTGGTCTAGTGGGAGGTGTCCCTGTCTATGGCAGGGGGGTTGGAACTCGATGATCTTCAAGGTCCTTTCCAACCTAAACCATTCTATGATTCTATGATTCTATGATTCTATGATCCTATGCTAGTCACCCAGCTCATCCTGCAGAGCGCAGCTGTCAGATGGGCCACTAACAGACATAGCAGAGAGCCTTTCCTGCCCAGCAGCTGCCTTCACAAGTGCCTGTTACAGCTTTCACTCTACCAGTGACAGGTGATTTTAGCACTCAGCCTCCGTCTACCAGAGAGAGTGTGTTCAGGGACTCAAAAGTCAGTGTTGTATCTGGGTAGCAAAGACTCTGCCATGCAGAAACTCAGTCCCATGCTTTGTCTGAGAGCGGGAGGGAAACAAACTCCTTGCCTGTTGCTTCTCCAGACTTGCAGATTGACGCACTGCTCTTGCTCAAAGTTGGCCCAGGGAAAAAGCGCCTGCATACAGGAGGTGGGGTGGCACCTACTGAGCAGGATGGCTCTAGGCTGGATCCTGCAGAGAGTGGGGACCAGTCCCACCAGGCTGGAGATGCATCTGGTGAGAGCAGGCAGCTTTCCCAGGCTTGTGCTGCCTTTAAATGTTTGCAGGGTGGCAGTGCAGTAACCTGGGCTGTGGTCTGTTGAACCTCACACTCATGTCCATGGTGGCTGTTTTATGCTGCTCTTGCACTTGGCATCTGGGTGCTGCAGTGCAAGCAGTGGGTTGCGGTGGCCATGGCACTGGGAATACCTTCACCTGCTCATACTGCTGCAAGTCATGGCACCGAGCAGTTTCTTGGAGATCTTTCTAGACCAGGATGTAGCAATATTAGTTTTTCCTTCTGAAACTCCTGTGGTGCTTGGAAGGATCCACAGGTGACCCACCAAATGCTGATTTAGAGTGCAGTCCAGCAGCTGATGGCAGGAGTGCTGCTGCTGTCGTCTGTGAGTCACATTTTTCTGCCATTTTCACAGAGCAGAGCCTGTGGTTGCAGTCCTTAGCTTTAGATTTTGCAGGTCCAACTTCTTGGAGGTTGCCAGCTGTAGATTTTCCCCAGGATTGCCACATGGAGAGTGCCAAGCAATTGTCCACATGGCAGAGAGTGAAGCACCACAGGTGGTCTTGAGGCTGATGGTCAGCCTTGGCCCAAAGTTAAACTGGTGGGAGCACAAGGAAAGAAACTACCAACCATGGCAAACAGATGACAGAAGATTGTTTGGCCAACTGTGATTTGCCCATGGAGTAGTACGGCTACCACAGAAAAGGTGTGGAAGGGGTCTATCGGGTGGCCGAAGGGTAATAAATGATTTACTGGTGTTGCTGAGCATGAGTGTGGAGTCAGCAAATAAGGGTGCTGAGTCAGCAGGACAGGGGCAAATGAGGAGAACATGAATGAGGCAGATTGTTTTTTTTTCAGAGGGGGGAAATGGGGGAAAGGGGCTACCAGGCCAATGACATTTACCGGGTAGACTGAGTGTGTAAGGCCAGTTACTGTGGGGACCTGCAGAGTGTGTGTGTGTGTATGCGATGGTCTTTAGCCCAGCCACAGGTGCCCACTGAGCACATGTTTAACTGCACTTCTGAATCCTGATGGTTCCTAAAGCATCAGAAAATTAAGTGAAAACATCAAGTGAATTGTCTTAGAAAGTTTTCACCAGAAGATCACGCCTCATCCCTAAAGCACACTCAAGACTTCCACTGTGAATAAATTGCTCCATACTTCAGTGAAAAGAATTAATTTTTAAAAATGCAATTTAAGAAGTACTGTTAAATATAGTCTTTTTCATAACCCATTAAAACTCTCCTTTTGCTTGACTGAGTCCTCTGAGCACTTAAGAAATTCCCAACACTCAGTGGAGACACTAACTGGTCTTTTAAATACTCAGAAATACGCACCCACAATTTTTCGTCTACTTGGAACAACAAAATCAGCTTGCAAGTGCAGTGATTGCTGAATGTTTAACAACACTAGGGAGGGCATAGGTTTGTGTCTCCAGCCTTGTAACAGCTTATGAGCACACGACTTAGCTCATACAAATGCTTCCACCAAAGAGGATGACTTAACATGCCCAAAGCAAAGTATTTGCATGACACATGTTGAAGCACCTAAGAGGCATTTTCACTAGTTACAGGGATCTCACCCAAGAGCCTCCGTTCAATGGTATATTATGGAGAAAAAGGAAAAGGCAGCAGACAAAATCTTTGCGTCAGCCTTGTTTGCTGACAATTACGCTCCTTGACACACGTTTTTGTAGGTACTACAACCACTTG